CTAACGACATTGTTAGTTTGTTTCTATTCCTATTGTGGAAAAAAGCTTAAGCTCTGTAATAAAATTAGGAAAGGACTTGACAAAAAAGTGGGATCGGAATAATATTGTTTATAAATTTAATTGTAATAGTTGCCCTGCAACATATATTGGTGAATCAAAGCGTACTTTGAAAAAAAGAATTAGCGAGCATAAAAACAAAAACCTCGAATCCGTTGTGAACAAACATCAAACTGAATATAATCATTCTTTTAATTTTGACGATGCAGAAATTTTAGATTATGAAACTTCTTATAAAAAACGATTAATTTCTGAGATGATTTATATTAAATGCAATAATTTTACTATTAACAAGAAGGAAGATATACAGTTTCTTAGTAATTCCTATTTTCCTTTGCTTAATAAATTGAAATAATGGTTATAATTCATAATATTTCGATTGCGGGTCATTGACCCCATCGACTGTATATAACGCGAAAATTGTCACCGGCTCAGTCAGTTTGACTAATCACTCGTTTTAATATGTTTGTGATTTGTAAATTTAAATATTTTATTTTTTTGTTGTATTGCGTTTATTTATGTTTTTAATTTATTGACGTGATGTTTATTTATTGACTTTAACTAGGTAAAAATTGTTTTTTATTTTTTGTTTAAATTTAAATTTTCAAAATTTTGTTGTATTAATTTTTTTAAAAAAATTTTTCTATTAAAGTGACCTGATGATGGTGGCGAACCTGACCACCGAAACGTCGTCTATTTTATAAAAAAGTAAAAGAGTGTTTTTCTTTTACCTTTTATATACGTCTTCCAAAAATCGAAAAAATTAATTTATTAATATTTATAAGTTTTTCAAATTAGTTTTAAAACTATTTTCTCGTTTCTCTTAAAATAACTTGAAAATCATATTAGATATTAAATTGTGATCTATTTAACCTTAAAAATATTTATTTCAAGTTTTTTAAAAATATCATTCAAAACCATTAAAAAAGCTCCTATTGAAATGATGTTTTAAAGTTATTTATAAGTGTTTAAACGATCATTTTATAATTATATTAGTATATTATTATAAAATATATATTAAAAAAGAAAAAAATTTTATTTACTATCTGTGTAATATACAATTTAAAAAAAGATTGTTAATTCTTAGTAAATCCAGATTTTTGCAAAATTTTAGTGCTTTATTTTACATTTTTTGTATAATATATCTACAAAAAAAATTTTACTAGGTCATTCTTTTTTTAATTTACTCTCAAATATATACACAAAAGATTTCATGAAGCAGAAATGATTAAAAAAATTGTTTACGCAACATTATAGAAAAACAAAGTTCGATGCACAAAATAGCCCCATCCCGGGAGTTATTGTGTTCACGACTTTCAATGACTATAACTAAGACAAAAAAAATTTTTTCTTTGCAAAATTTATAGGAAACCTTCAAAAGGATGTCCACAACATATATCAAAAGTTGATTTTCTTTATTCTCTTAATTCTGAATTTAAATAAATCTTTGAATAAAAAAAATTAATATAAAAACTAAAAAGTTATTTCCACTTAATCAATTCAAATTTTTTTTTTCAATTTATACCTAGATAAAGCAGAAAAATATTTGTAGTAGAAAATTGATTGAATTTAAGAGCAGAAATTTTTTTTTGTAGTACAAAAGTGATTGAATTTATTTATTGATTGAAACAATATAAAGTTTTTTTTGTGTGCAGTTTTCATATTTTTTCCTACTATAAAAAAATTGTCTATAGATAATTATAATAAAAAATTTATTGACATTTTGCAATTTTAATTAATGTTAAATGAAAGAAAAATAGAAATTGGTGTTGAATGAAAGGAAAATAAAATTTGGATGTTGAATTATAATGGAAACTATAAATTGGAAATTCATATTAGAATTGAAAATTGATATTGGTTACAAGGAAATTGAAAATAAAGAAAATTAAAAAAATTGGAAGTAAAAACAAATGATATTGGAATTGAAAATTGATATTGGACTTGCGAAAATTGATAGTGGTTACAAGGTTGTTTACAAGGAAATTGAAAATAAAGAAAATTGGAAAAATGGAAAAATTGGAAGTAATAACAAATGATATTGGAATTGAAAATTGATATTGAAAATTGATATTGGTATTGAAAATTGATATTGGAATTGAAAATTTATATTGGAATTGAAAATTTATATTGGTTACAAGAAAATTGAAAATAAAGAGAATTGGAAAAATTGAAAGTAAAAACAAATGAGAGAAAACTGAAAAAATTCTTTTGAATAAAAAAGACGTTTATTTATTTAAAAGTAATTGTCATCATATCTGTAAATTTTTCGAAATAAAAGCATGACTAATAAAAAATAATTAGTTTAAGTGATAAAAATTATGATATAATTGATAATAAAAATGGAATGTTAAATAATGACCATATGCATGAATTTCAAAAGCTTTTAGAAAGACTGTCAGATTCGTTTTATAATATGCAAAGCACTTTAGGTTTACAAGTACTTGATATGATAATTCCAATCGAAAAAAATAAGAGGCACATTCAAATACTTTTTGGTGGTTTTTGCAAATCAGGTCACTGGATTTGCACTTATTATGATAAAACAAGACTTTATATTTTTGACAGTCTTAACAAAGGATCTTTAAATGAGGATCAACTCAACTATTTAATTAGATTATATCCATTTAAACCACCAGTGGTATTTTCAAAAGTTCATCAACAACCGTTAGGCAGTGTTGATTGTGGAGTATTTGCTATAGCATTTGCCACATCTTTATTTTTTAATGAAATGCCAAACACTGTCTATTATGATTATTGTCATATGAGAAATCATTTGAAGTTAATTTTTAAAAACAATCATTTATGTCGTTTTCCGGTTAAAAAAATTCTATTAATCCACGTTTAGTTGTTAAATATGATTGGGAATATCTTTTAAGGAATCCAGTTGAAAAACTCCTATGTGGAAAAGAAACCCTAATAAAATTATTAATCAAAATATTCCTTGTGAAAGAATTTCAAATAGTACAAAGGAAATCAATAATATTTCAAAGACACAACAATATTCTGCCATACTCAAATCAAAAAGAAAAAAAATTACAAATTTATTTCATTCAGATAAAGTAGAAGTTTTCTCTAAAGAAATTCAAACGAATCAATTAGAATTCCAACGACAACATCCGGATAAAAGAAAGTTTGAAGTTATCAATAATGAAAAAGACTCCTTGTGTAAGAGAAGCAACATACAATAAAAAAAATTCACATTCAAAAAGAATGTGAAGAGGGATTACTTAAGCATAAAAATTTGTTAAGTCAAGTTAATGATTCAAACTGACCCTAGGGATCGTAGGACCTTGCAGCTGGTGGGGTGGCTTAAAGGCCTAATCGGGGAGTACCTGTGAACCCCGTTCTTTTCCTCGTTGGTCGTTTGCGGCGGCCTGCTCCTCATAAGGGAGGGACCGCCCAATAGACCAGGTCCATGGAGTAGAGGGTAAGAATGGTGAGGAAGCAACCTTTGGGCGATCAGAAATGATCACCACTGGAAGCGGAGGGGTGTACTGCCTGCGGGGCCCCAACTAAGAAACGGTCCCCCAATCCGAGATATTTCTGCTGTGTCGATGGATGAATGGCACTAGGGTTACCAAATCTGTCGCTGACGACGGGCCGGCCGCCTGTCTGTCTCTCGGGATTGTACTGGTCGGTGAGTGATCCCGTAAAGCTCGGGGGAGCGATCCGGCTGGGGTTCCGGCGGGCGGCTGGTCTTGGCGTGATGTGAACGGAGTTGTCTTAAACGGCGGCTCCGGAACACCGGGCGACCTTCCGGTAGTATTAGCCTTACTCCTGCAAGCGGGGCTCTGCAGGAGTGGACTTTCTTTTCCCTTGCTACTCGTGGGTCTTCAAATGGAGAATCAATTCAACAATTTAAATTTGGGTGACAAAAGGGTCTCGTTGGCTGCGTCTACAACCTCCTCGGAAGTTGTGGATGTGACGGTCTCGAACCCTGAAGTCGTGGGTCAGTCTCCCCCCTCCTCTTTGGCTGCTCCTTTGGGTTCTTCGGGATCTGATGGTAATGTGGTCTTAGGTGGGGGAGGAGATTCGGAGGCTGTAGAAATGGCCCCAATCAGAAGAAAGCGCCTTACCGGTTCTGAAAAGAAACGGTTAAGGAAAGAACGGCTAGCAGCCGGTGTAAACAACTCGGTTTCCTCGGGTGTTGCTACTGGGTCGAAGAGAAAGAGTAGCCAGGATGCATCACCTCTGGAAAAAAAGAGGGTGTAAAAAGGCCAAAGTCGGTCCAACAGAGTACCAGGCGAGAGGGGTACAATGTTGGGCTAACAATGGCCCAAAGGACAAATCCTCTAACGATGGTGGTCTGTGGCGAGGGCTAACCAGATGTGGTGCTTACAGATGAGCAGTTTGGACTTCTTAGGAAGACCGTTGTGACGCTCACTTGTGAGGAGCCGGTCGAAAGGTGGCCGCGTTTTGAGACTTCCTTCTGCAGAGGAGGAGTCTTCATCGCTTCCAACCCGGAGGCTGTGGAATGGCTGACAAAATGTGTGGCCGACCATGAGCCCTGGGAGGGAGCGAGGTTGAAAATTGGTGGGGTTGAGATGCTCCAAAGAATGGTAAAGGCTACTGCGTGGTTCCCGGGAGAAACGGCGGACGCGCGGACGGTCTTGCGACATTTGGAGGCTTTCAACCCCACGTTGAAGACATCGACTTGGCGTTTGCTGAATGTTGATGGGTCTCAGGTGGCGAACAGGGGTGACAAGAGTTTTCTTCTTGTCGCTCAAGTCCCTGAAAGTCAAGCGAGGGCTATAGAGGCCCTCGAATTTAAGCCTCACTATCACTTCGGGCGGATAACCTTTAAGGTAACTGTCCCTGATCGTGACGGCACAAGCACTGTAGAGGAGGGAGAAGAGCAAACATAATTCACTGTTTGCAAGCTCTCCGCTATTCAGATTAACTTGCATCATAGCAAAGGCGCCTAATCAGTACTGACGAGGAGCATGGCTAAGTTGCACACAGGCATCTCACTAATCCAAGAACCATTGTTAGTAAGAGGTGTCATTAGGGGGCTAGGTGGGGCTGGTCTAGTTTGTTACAGGGACTGCAGAGCTGCCAAACCCAGAACGTGCATTCTTACTAAGGGTGTCAACGCAACTCCACTATTGGATCTGTGTTCAGGGGACCTAATGGTGGTGGTAACTAACCTGGAGGGTATAGGTAAGACGGTCGTAGGATCGGCATATTTTCCATATGATAATAAAAATAATCCGCCAATTGAAGTTCGTAGGTTGGTGGACTACTGTATGGAAAAGGGACCCTCCTCTGCTGCTGGGCTGCGATGCAAACTCACAACATACGGTGTGGGGGAGCTCAAAGGACAACCAGAGTGGACAGGAGCTACTGGAATATCTAATCGGAACGAATCTAGATATTCTCAACACGGGTTCGACCCCGACTTTTAGCAATGTGTTTAGGCAGGAAGTGATTGATATCACTCTCTGCTCCAAAAGCATTGAAAATAAGGTAAGAAGATGGAAAGTTTCTAATGAACCTTCTCTTTCTGATCATTCACAGATAGTCTTCGAGGTGGAGTCTGCGGTCCGATCCGAAACTAAGTGGATTCGTAATCCCAGAAGGACGGATTGGGCTAGTTATATCTCAGAACTTCGAAGGACACTTTCTGGTTTACCGGGTAAGATAAGAGATTATCAGACCCTGGATGAGGCAGCCAATGATTTTACAAAGGCTATTAAGGCAGCTTATGAAAGTAGCTGCAAACCGACAAAAGTATTCTCGGGAAAAGAGGTGTGCTGGTGGAACGAAAGATTAGAACATCTCAGGAGAGAAACCAGGAGACTCTTTAAGCGTGCCAAGAAAAGGCGCACGACTAATGGTTGGTCTGATTTTACGAAAATGAGAGACGACTATAGAAATGAAGTAAGGAAAGCAAAACAAGACAGTTGGAATGCTTTCTGCTCTAGCATGAAAAAAGGGAAAGAGACGGCCAGATTGGATAAGCTGCTCGCTAAGAACCCTGATGCAATTCTGGGCACTTTAATGTTGCCGGACGGGACTTTCTCTGAGTCGGACGATGGAACCTTGGCTTGTCTGGTCCAGGAACACTTCCCGGGCTTTTCGAGGTCTGGGGAGGGCACATCCGATCCTGAGCCGCCAACAAACCTTCCGCAGGATGATTACCGGTCGCGGAGGCAGTTGGCTAACAGGATTGTGACTGCCGAGAGGATCAGATGGGCCACGGAATCTTTCAGCCCTTACAAGTCTCCGGGTCCTGATGGCGTCTACCCTGTCCTCTTGCAAAGAGCGATAGATGAGGCTGTTGGACCATTGGTAAGGCTTGCTAGGGCGAGTCTGACTCTGGGATATGTCCCGATAGCGTGGAGGGGTACAAAAGTTGTATTCATACCTAAAGCGGGCAAGAACGGTTATACCTCACCAAAGGATTTCCGTCCTATTAGCCTTACATCCTTTATCCTAAAATTAGTTGAAAGGTTGGTGGATAGATATATTCGCAGTGAGATTTTGGAGCGGTTCCCGCTACAAAAGGATCAATATGCGTATAGAGCGGGATGCTCTACGGAAACAGCTCTGGCTAGAGCAGTAGACCTAATTGATGGGCAACTGCAGAATCAGGGCTTTGCTGTGGGTGTTTTTATGGACATAGAAGGAGCTTTTAGTCAGGCCTCTCCGGAATCCATAAAAAGAGCTATGACAGCTTTTAATATTCCTACAGGAGTGGTTGATTGGACCTGTCATATGTTAAGAAACAGGAACCTCTTATCAACTAAAGGAGACTCAGTCCTGAAAGGGACAGTCAACTCTGGATGCCTCCAAGGAGGTGTTCTTTCACCCTTGCTCTGGTCCTTGGTGGTGGATGAACTACTGACAATTCTGACCGAAGCAGGATACCATGTAATTGGTTATGCGGATGACATTTTGTTAACCTTAAGAGGGCCGGGGTGGCCACTATAGTGGCCACCATTAATTTTCACTACTATTTTCATCGAATTGACTTTTTATTTAATTTTACTTAATAAAAAACTAGTAAAATTTTTAAAAATTTTCCGGCCCTCTAAAGGTTAATCGTTCGCGGTCCCCACCTTGAAGTTATACTCGAAGTGGCCCAAAAGGCGTTAAACCAGGTAGATAAATGGTGTGAGAAGGTGGGTTTATCTTTAAATCCGGGGAAAACGGAAGCGGTTATCTTTACCATACGGTACAAGTGGAAAGCCTCGTGCTCACTTACGCTGTCCGGAAAAGAAATCAAATACACAGAGCAGGCAAAATATCTAGGAGTAATCCTGGATAGCAAACTGCTTTGGAAAAAGCATTTAGAGGAAAAATGTAAGAAACTTACAGCTGCTCTTTGGCAATGTAGAAGGGCCATTGGTGGTAGCTGGGGTCTCAAACCGGATACACTATTGTGGATCTATGAAGCAATTCTGCTCCCTAGGCTGACCTATGCTTGTGTGGTCTGGTGGAGTAGAGTTGAGCTAAAAACAGCACAAACAGAATTGGAAAGGGTAAGGGGGATGTTACTTAGAGGCATAACGGGGGCGGTGCGTACAACTCCTACTGCTGCCCTTGGTGCCCTCTTCGGGCTAGAACCCTTACACCTTACAATTAAAGCAGCGGCGGTTAAGGCTGCCCTGTGGTTGAGTGGTCCTGTGGGCCGCAGGGAGGTGGGCAGATGGCGTCTCCCAAAGAAATTGGTGAGAATCCCCCTTCTAAGTATGATTAGGGACAGAACTGTCCCTTTGTACCTCTTCGACAAAAAGTATAGGATTAATATACCTAGTAGAGAAGATTGGATAAATGGACTGACAAGTGTTCCAGCTGACTGTGAAGTCTGGTACACAGATAGATCAAAAGCGGGAATAAAGTTGGTGCAGGAATCTATCATGTAACCTCCCAAGTGAGACACTCCTTTAAGTTGGGGACCACTGTTACTGTTTTACAAGCCGAAATTGTGGCAATATTTTATGGTGCTGTTGAAGCCTTGAAAAATTGTCACAACAAAGATATTTTTATCCTTTCGGATAGCAAGGCGGCCATTTTCTCCTTGAAACGATACGTATCAACATCACGGCTGGTCGGTGATTGTCATGAAGCACTTAACAAACTAGCTGAAACGAACCGCGTTACCCTCCTGTGGATCCCTGGTCACAGTGTATTCGCGGGAAACGATAGGGCGGATGAGCTAGCCAAAGAAGGGGCTAGAAAACAACTTATTGGACCTGACCTCCCATTGGTGTTTCCAACAAATGCCTGACACTGGAAATTAAACAGTGGATAGCTGCGGAACACCAAAGGGAATGGCAGGTAACTAAGGGCTGTAGACAAGCCAAGGTACTCATGGGAAGTAGTATTAACCCTATGAGGAAAGCGGAATTCCGCAAATTAAATAGAAAAGAGGCAAATATCATAACAGGGCTATTAACTGGCCATGGTGATCTGCGCTATCATAGGCACAAAATAGGGATCCTAGACGACCCGAAGTGCCGTAGGTGTGAAGAGGAATATGAAACCCCGATACACATCTTGTGTTACTGCCCTGCACTTGTGAAGGAGCCGGAACACATTACGGGCTACTTCTTTCTGGGGGAGACCGTTATTTCTACCAGAAACCTGGCCGAAGTCCTCCTGTTGTGGAAAGGACTTCGGATATAGGGGTGGTTATGGGGAACGTAAAGGGATTACCCAAGCGTTAGTGGCGTTGACCTGCAAGGTCCTAAGTCCACAACCCTCTTCTTAATAATAATAATAATGATTCAAATGATGATAATATGAATGAATTTGTTCACTTAGAAAAAATCGTTGCTTCCATTCCCACAATAAAGAATATATATGATATTGTAAAGGAAACAAATTCTTTATTTAAAACTGTTCGAAAAAGTGTAGCGGAAAATCAAAGAAATTATCGTGCCAGACAAAAATTGAAAAAAAATATTGAAAATGTAAATCTTTCAGATGAAGTAGATCACTTGTCTATGAAAAGAAAAAATATTCGGGCAAAATATTAAAAAATAAATAGGGAAAAAATTAAATTAAAAAAAGAAAATGAAATAAACTCTTTTTTAATTTAAAAAATATAAATTCTATTCAATCTGATTTAATAAATGACATTTCTCCTGTTCCAGTAATAACAAATTCACAATTACAAGATAGTAGTAAAAAGAGAAAAAACTCTCCAATTAAAAAGATTTGAAAAAGTAGGAATGAAATTCAGAAAAACTATCAGGAGAGATAAAAAGTGAAACTTAAAAACAAAAGTTAACTCTTATTCTGTCAAGAATATCAAAAAATAAGATTATTCATGAATCAAATTCTTATGAAAATTATTTAGGAAAATTGAATTATTATTGCAGTAATTGTCAAGCTAAGCATTTTAAAGATGAAAGAGTTAGTGTCAAACAGCACAGTTTCAATGATTGTTGTGGTCATGGTGGTGTTATACTACATTTAGTGCAAAATCCAGAAGATTTAAGATTATTGCTAGAGGGACTTCATACAAAGTCAGGTCATTTTAAAAAGAATATAAGACAGTATAATAATAATTCTTTTTCTTTTGCATCTTTAAATGTTAACGTAATTAATTTTAATAACACAAGAAGAGGACCAATTTGTTACAAAATTCAAGGTCAAATTTATTACTAAATTAATATAGTGCTTTATATCCTGATAAAGGTGAAGACCCATGTTTTGGTCAATTATTTATTTATGAACTTAAAGAAGCAATTCGTTATAGATTAAAAAGTAACGAAAATTTAGACGAAGAACTTTTACAAAATATAGAAAATATTATGAGAACTTAAAATGCATACACAAAATCTTTTATGATGATGTAAGAAGTAATTAAAATAGAAACTGAATTAGCAAGACAAAATAATGAAGATGTTCCAGAGTTACAACTATTGTTCATGTTGAAAAAAGGTTTTGATAAAAAAGATATAATTATCAAAGTTACAATGAAGTTGCTGCTATTTTCAATACAAACTCAGAAGGACAAATACCAGAATCTTATGTAACAGTTTATAATAAGTCTACAAAGAAACTGATATCAGTTAGTAATTTAGATCCAAATGTTGAACCACGGATCTATCCCATATTTTATCCACTTGGAAATAAAGGTTATATTATTAATATGCTTTGTAGTAATAGTAATTTTAGAAGTAAAAATAAAATACTATTTCTAGGTCTGCCTATTGTAAATACAAAATTGCTATGAGAGATAAGAAATTTAATAAATTTTTATATGGAGGAAGATTGTTTCAAAAATGGTAGTTGACAATTATGCAAAAATAGAGAAAGATAGATTGCGATTTTGTGCAAACAATCAAGCTCAATTGAGAAGTGAAACATATCAAGGATTAATCGATTATTTATAAAATAATGAGTTAGAAAATGATGTACATGTTGGAAAAATGCTTATATTGCCTTCCACTTTTATAGGATCACCTCGTAATATGATGTAACAATATCAGGATGCCATGGCTATTGTTGGTCATCATGGTAGACCAGATTTATTTATTCCAATGACGTGTAATCCAAATTGGAAAAAGATACAGAAAAATGTATTCCCCCATCAAACTGCTCCTGATAGGCCTGATATAGTAACTAGAGCTTTTGCATTGAAGGTGAAACAACTTTTAAATGTTATGTTGACAATAAATTATTTGGAGAGGTTACGTCTCATGTTTATGTTATTGAATTTCAAAAGCGAGGATTACCACATATTTATTTGTTAGTTATATGAAAAGAAAATTCTAAAATATTAACAGTTGAAAGTGTTGATAGTTATATTTCTGCAGAAATTCCTGATGAAAATATTAATCCTTCCTAGCATAACATAATAATGCAAAATAACATTCACGGACTTTGTGGAGATTTGTGTTTAATTGATGGTAAATGTTCAAAAATTTTTCCAAAATGTTACCAAGAAGAAACTACAATTGAAGAAAACTGTTATGTTCGTTGTCGTTGAAGAAATAATAATAAAACGTATGAGCGACCAAATGGATTTGTTGTTGACAATTCTAATGTGGTTCCATATTGCCCTACACTTTCGGAAATATTTAATTGTTATATAAATGTGGATATAGTTTCAAGTATTAAATCTGTAAAATATTTATATAAATATATTTTCAAGGGTCATGATGTTTACCCATACATTTACCAAATGAACAGAATGTTATTATTCGCGAAAGGAAAGATAATAACAATGTTTCTTTTGATTTACAGAAAAATACAGAATTGCTCGATTTTTTAAACTTAATAAGCGTCAGTATTTTATACACAAATACCAGAACATTATACGTGGATAAAGAAATCTTTTGAAAGGCAAAAAAGTATTCTTAAAGAAAAAGTATTGGGAAGAATGTATTCAGTTAATCCACGTTAATTGGAATTGTTTCACCTTAGATTATTGTTACTTACAGTAAAAGGAGTAACTTCTTTCCAAAGTTTAAGAACAGTTAATGGAGTTATTCATGAATCTTTTACATCTGCCTGTTTGGCATTAGGACTTATAGAAGATGATAGTGAGTGAATTAGGACAATGGAAGAAGCTACTTTATAGATGATGCCTCATTCACTTCGACAATTATTTGTAAGAATTCTAATTCATTGTCATCCTGTACAACCGGAAAAACTTTATGAGAAATTTAAAGGTCAAATGTCAGACGACTATTCAAAAATTGACAATATTGAAGCTGAAAAAACAGCTTATAGAAATATAAAATCAATGTTATTGAATAAAGGATATTGTTTAACTGATTTTCAGGGTTTATTAGATATAGATGAAAA